TTTCTTAAAGAATATATATAAATCAATAAAGGAGTCCAACCGCCCCAATTAAATTAAACCGGCGCGCATGGCTTTTGCTAGGGGAGCGTGCACATTAACAAATGTTCAAAGTTTGAGCTGCATAAGTTACTCTATGAGAATTTGGGTCGATTACCTTAACGTGATGGAATGAACTGGTGTTGATGATAAAGGTTGGTAGGGTTTGTCTTTTTCTGTGACTTTTTTGTAATCACAACATTTGTCGGAAACTTCCGTTTTTGATGAGCAAGCCTCTGAGCACTCTTTTGGGGATAAACGACTACACTTTGCATAAACCTAGCCTTAAAGGCAGCGTCCAGGCAGATCTGGACCCATGGGGCTTTTACGTGGAAAGTACTTTTGGGGCCCTAACTGAGGCACTGCCCAAGCGGCAGCTCAGGTAGTGCTGTAATGGCTGAGATATTCCTCTCGAAACTGGACCCCGCGACCGTGTTTCGCATGGATTCATGGCGCAAATCGTGGATCCTGGCGCGAAACTGCCATGAATCCATGCGAATACGTTCGCGGGGGCCAGTTTCGAGGGGAATATCTCAGCCATTACAGCACTACCTGAGCTGCCGCTTGGGCAGTGCCTTAGTTAGGGCCCCAAAAGTACTTTCCACGTAAAAGCCCCATAGGTCCAGATCTGCCTGGACGCTGCCTTTAATTTTCTGATTGTGTTTTTAAGCTATCGAAACTGTCCAACTTCTCTTCAAACTTCGAAATCCAAAGCTTCCAAAAACAGCTTATGGCTGAACACTAATTTTAGCAAGCAACTGCGCGTTTAGCAATTCGAAAAGTGATTTTCAAATCCTCTAAATACAGCCCAGGATGCGTCTGAAAATAAGAACTATGATGATTCTATCCACAAGTACTATACAAATCAGGAAGGAAAGAAGTTTATCAGAAAGAGTAGACGGCATCGAAAGTCGCTTTGATTGCTCGCCATTTACTGCTCTACAAGAGTTGGAATGCCCAAAAATGGAATTTGATATCGCTTGAAAAACGAAGAAGGAGCGCTTGATTGCGTGAAAGGTACTTTTCTAGCATCTCTAGCTGATATTTCAGAAAGATCTCAAATTTTCAGGTGTTAGCTCGCCGCTTGATGCTTTACGTGGTTTGGGGTTACCAAATACAGAATTTGGTAGCCCCAAATCACGACCATTCTAAAATTTATGAATACCCAGCTATGAATGCTAAAAATTGCATTGTCTTGCGTTCTCTTTACTCTATCCGATAGTGGTCAAAATCTCCAAAATTTAGAAGTAATTTATTGGGTTGTTGATAAATTCTGTCAGATTTTTTCTTTTGATTTTTTCTCAACATTCCTTTAGAATTTAAGTCTTCTTTTTAACGTGTCTTTAACGTTGACCTTCCCCACCTGAAGGCATTCCTTAGAGAGGAGGTCTACGGATAATCCAGAAAAGACAAAAGAAATGGTCTGTGACTACAAAGGATTTAATTTATAGGTTAATTGCCCAAAAATTTGAACTTTGTGAGTCACACAGCTTGTATACGTTAGAAGACGAACATCACCGCGACAGAGTCTTGCTTCGCCGTCTTTTGAAAAAATGGCACGAAGGAAGGGAACAAGCGCAAACAGTGACAGTACAAACATAAGAGTATATTAGGTTATTTTGTTTGCTGGTTTGTTGAATAAATTTTATTGATAGAAGGTTGAGTTGAAGAGACAAAAGATGTCAGGATTGATTTTTCTTCCTTTCTTGTTTTAATGCCAGAATCTTCCTTTCATTTTTCTGTTAGGTTAATGGATGACGCATATGCATTTGCAGAGCAGACGGTTCAAACGCATACTCAGACACTGAGACCGGCCGAGCCGCGGCCTCAAAAGGCCTTTCCGGCCCGTCCGCGGCCTTAATTTGTGGGCGTGGCCGGAGTGCGGCCCAGCCGCGGACTGAATATGGCTTACCGGCTCAGCCGCGGCCTTAATGATGGGGGTGGAGCATTGAACCGGCTGAGCCGCGGACCGAAATCTTTATAATGAAACTCCGGCCGAGCCGCGGCCCATATCAGATAAGGTCCGCGGCTCGGCCGCTCCCAGAATCTGAGCATAAAGAATACTTGCGTGATGTACGACGCATGATCAGGCTGCCCTCAGTGTCCATAGCCTTCGATGTCCTTCCAGTCTACAAGGCGGAAACAAGATCAATATGTTGTACATCCTTGGATAGTACCTTGTGTTGTCCAACGTTGAAGTCGGACTTGGTACCCGAAACCGCCATGTAGGTGGCTTCAACTTTTGTTTTTTTACTGTGTAATTCTAAGTGCCAGTGAATAAAAAAACAGTTCTACTGTATCCGAGCTGGATGAACTAGACGGCCCGACAACCAGCTCCGGCTGAGCCGCGGCCCAAAAGCGGACGAGCCGAGGCCCTTCTCCGGCCGAGCCGCGGACCATTCACCGGCTGGCCCGCGGACGCTGCGAAATTCCAGCCGGAAATGGGCCGCGGATCGTCCGTCCCAGTGTCTGAGTATATTGCGAAACACTGTGCAAATATTAGTAAAAATCAAAAGAAAAAATGGGACAGAACTTACTAGCTAGTAGAAATACATAGCTAAAATGAGTGTAGGCAAAGGTGGGTTGGAGATTCTAACAAATATGTGGCCAAAACCGGAAGAAAATTCGCATCAAACTCTTTTTAGGGCATTTGTATAGCTTTATTTCAAGCGGCTTTGGAATATATCTCAGAAACGGCACAAACTAATACATATCAGTGGCGGTCCCAGGACTTCCGTCCGGGGGGGGGGAAGCGGAAATTTTTTTAAAAGGTGTGTGGCGTCAGCCACGCACCCCGAAAATTTTTTTGGGGTATCAAAGTCTTTGAGGGCTCGTAACCCCTAAAACTAGAAAGAGGGGCATAGAGTTAGCCATGCCCCCAAAGAAATTTTTACAAGACTGATTTGTATCTTTAAAAAACTTCAAAAATTATTCTGATTATTTACAGAATTAAACAAGTCACTTGCACATTTTTATAACCCATAGAAGTAAATTTCAAGAATTTCGCAACCTGATCTCTCTATAATAAAGCGCAGGATGACTAAGCGCCATTCTGTAACACCCCCCCCCCCCCCCACTAGCGATGGGACAGAAGATGTCAACAAGTTTGTCGTTGCATGCAGGCGTACCGAGCTGATGACTCATCATATTTTTGATGTCTGGTTTAGATGGTGTTGATCGACAACCCATGTGCAATCACAAGTAGCTAAACCCAGCCAACGGTAGCATCATTGATTAGAACCATTTAATTCGCGACAGATGGGTTTACATTGCGAGGAGCACCTGTACAATTCACGAGCTTGCCATTAGAGCACCCTGGAAAAATGGAGTAAATTCAAATCATTCTGATTCAAATGCCAAAAATTTTAGGAAAGTCAGCCGCTACGTAACTGATTTTCGAGAAAGGCATGTCAAAAGGAGCGGGAAGGTCGAAAAAGGCGTGTCAAGAGGGGCGAAGAGGAAAAACTGAGATCCAGAAAATTATGAAGTATACTTTGGCTTAAAAAATTGTTTTTTAACTCCTGAAGGGAACTCGGGCCTTTACTAGAAAAGTAGGAATCACGAGTTGGGGATTCCCGCAGGAGAAGCATTCAAAAAGGCCAGGAAAAGTTCTTCAATGGTTTTCGTTACGGTTACTCAGGCTGAATAGAGTAAGGAAGAGGAAGGGTGAGGGGTAAGGAGTGGGTGCACTTTGCCAGGGCCTTTATTTTTCTCTGTCGGTTTCACCTGTCAAAAACTAGTTACTATAAATCTATGAACTTAAAGACAAAAGCTTGGCGATTTTGTGTGTCTGAAGACCATTGGAGAGAAGAAATTAGTGGAATACCTAAGGAAGAACTTGGGGAGTCAAGCCCACCTCACTCAGGCTTTATCGATACTTCAATCTAAAACGTCAAAGTGCCATGACTAAGACAGCAAAAAGTAGATCAAGAGCATGCGGAAATTCTAGGCTATTTAGAAAAGCCTTTTCAAGGAAAAAAAGTTTCGCTGAGTAAGCTTTTGAGAGTAGAAAAAGGGAGATGGGGAGCCGGAAGGGGGGGGGGGAAGCTTCACGTTCAATCAGGTAAAGGGTTCTTTAATTTCTTTTGAGGAGTTAAACGAGCATACTCCCAATTCATTCCAGCTGCGCGGTTCCATTTCACACACTACGAGCTTTCCACCATCTTCCGAAGACCAAGGTGAGAAAATCAAAATCCACGTCTTTCCTTGTGACAGCCACATTTGTCGCCTCAGGACTGCGATAACACGGACAAGCCACCCTGGTAAGGGGTTGTATTCACTTTGGTCTGTATGTAATATATTGGTATCCAGCAGTTTGTGCAACACATCTTGCCGACCTGGTCATATGTTTTATACTTCCAATAAATTCGATTAGTTGGACAGTAAGGGGAAAAAATTTTAGTACCCTACTTTCTGGAAACTTGTCAAAATTATTGGAACATTTGTCGGAAAAATCCTTATCTGCACGTATAATCTTTACAACCTTCAAACAAGACGACTAAGAATAAGACTTTTCATTGCTCGTACCGCTACTACTAATTCACAAGCGGAACGATGTAATTGGTGTCAAGAGAGGAACGAATCAGGGAAATTTTACATACAAGAATTGTAAAGAAACAGTCTTTCATCACAGCTACCCTTGTATGTTCGAAAGACTTTTTGTTATAGCGATGTCGCAGTAGATTGACCGTTATCCTCATATTTCAGGTACATACGTTTTGGTCGGACCGCTTAAAATCAATCCAGTACCGTTGAAGGAAAGCGAAATAGAATAAGTGCCTCTGCTGAGAAAAATGAGATCATTGTATGCACGAAGTCAGCTTATCAGTTTTGCCCATTTGCTACCTTTCAAATGCGTCAGTGGCTGCTGGCCGCCCTATATATGCCAAGTCAAGTTCTTACAAAGCTCTGCTTGTCACTGGCGGGTTATTCACTCAGGCGATTTAAAAACTTCAAGCATAACATCAATACACTACTCTAAATTGTCCCACCTTGAATAAGTTTTCTTTGCTTCCACGAAAGTGGTCCTTATATCTAGGATCTTCCATCATCCAATATGCAAATTCCTCAGCCATGTATTGACTGGCTTTACCGCGCTTCTCGATATATCTAAAATATGATAAATGGTGCAAGAAAAATCGGAAAGGACTGTTACTTTGACTCACTTGATATCGAAATCGTACATTATTCCTTCCTTAAGAGTTTTACCGATGTGAACAGCATCCTTGAACTGCCGGCACAAGTCACCTTCCTTCACATATTGCTAAAAATGTTGTTTTCTTAAGTTGTAAAATTAAAGTACAGGACATAATTTGCACTAATGATGGCAATAGATCTTTTGTTCTCGAATATATGGATGTAGAAATGCTGCCCGAAGAAAATTCGACCGGTTCAGAAGCGATTATTTGTGCAAGTATCTAAGCCTACTCAGACAATCACCGGGGGCAGGCGGGCACCGGAAAAATAGATTGCTGATCTCTCGCACCCCGCTCGCGGATTTTTTGCAAAGCAATCAGGACTTTTCGGAAGACCGCTTGCTGAATTCTCGATTCCTCAGAGATTCAGCAATATATCTGCAAAAGATAAGAGCGAGAAAAAATTCAACAGGCGGTCTCTCAAAAATTTGCTGACTCAGCAAGCGGTCTTCCGAAAAGTCCTGATTGCTTTGCAAAAAATCCGCGAGCGGGGTGCGAGAAATCAGCAATCTATTTTTCCGGTGCCCGCCTGCCCCCAGCGATTGTCTGAGTAAGGCCTCGGGCAGAGTTCACGCGATTTGATCGTCGCGATTCAGTCGCGACAAGACAACTGTTACGAGTTCATTGCATGCCGACCAGCTTGCATTTCGCTTATGATACTTTTCCAGTTCGAAATTTTTGAATGGTAAAATGAAAATGAATGGAAATCGCAGCGATTGAATCGCGACGATGAAATCGCGTGATTCTGTCAGAAACCTAAGGCCTTAGGCAGAATTCACGCGATTTCATCGTCGCAATTCATCACGACAAGATAAGTGTTACGAGTTCATTGCATGCCTAATTTCTTGTATTTCGGTTGTGATAGTTAGTCACAATTAGTCGTGTTGGAAAACTATCACAAACGAAATGCAAGAAGATTGGCATGCAATGATATTGTTGCAGTTATCTTTTGCGAAGAATCGCGACGATGAAATCGCGTGAATTCTGCCAGAAGCCTGAGGCATACTTCCGGCGATCTCGTCAGGTCGCTGCATCCCCGCGACAGTAAAAAGCGTCAAGCCCGGCCCAAGGAGTGCGCTTACGACCAATGATGAAGCGCCGTTACAGGCCGACTGGATTCGCGTGAAGTTTGCCTAAGACGTGAAGGCAAGAGCGTAACTTACCATTCCTAGCTGACCTCCTTTTCCTGGCTGACCTTCTTTTTTAGTGCAAAAAATGCTGAATCCATTCCTTAGGTTTTGCTCCCAGGTTTCTGGATCCTTGTTGATATTCCAATCATATTCTTGACATTTATGAGAATAAAGCTTGGGAAGAGACAAGGGATCAGCGTCGCAGAAGGCGGGCAAGAGCTAAAAACTTTAATCATCACCGATTTTTCAAGATATATGGTAAATTATATGTACTTACAACGAATATGCGGTAAAACAACATTGTTTTATATGGTCACATTCTCCAAGCGCTTTTATAACGGGAGAGCTCAATGCGAATGAACGAATCAGCAGGTTTGTATTTGACAAAGTGCGTTTGGGATAGAATGAGTAATTGTAGATTTGTTGTGTGGTATGTAATAGCGCAGATGTTTGTCACACTATAACTATTCATAAAATATACTTTTTTGAATGTTATGAATGGGAGAGCCGTTTGACGACTTTTTTGCTCCTCTGACTTGTTAGAAATGTGAATGAACATCAATTGTTTTTGGACACATCTATAAGTACATACACATGGAAAAACCTTACTGAATAATACACTATTTTCAGCTTTGGTGGAATTCCAATTTAAATAATTGGAACTCCAATTAAGATAATCTATGAGTTATAGCTTCCACACAAAAAATGACAAGGTTCATTCTTGCCGTAGGTAATGAGCAAGCCAATTTTGTCACCATCCGTCAGCATTAGTTTCAGACATTTTCAGTCAAAAAGAATGTAAAATATTGTAGTACCATACGATACCCAGCAATATTGTTCATTTGCACCTTCTTAGTCCAGGAGTATTTAGCTAACTCAGGCTGCTAGAATTCTGTCTCACTGTGCGGTCTACTAGTATCCCTTTCAATGTATGTTACTGTTAATAATCTTATATATAAAGCTGATTGTCTGTTTGTCTGTCTGTCTGTATGTCTGTATGTCTGTCTGTCTGTCTGTCTGTACGTATGTTCCGAATAGAAAATTCCATTTCTGAACCGATCCGGACCAAACTTGGCACACATACACTACGGGCCCCGGCGGGTGTCATAGGCTACTTTTCGTCATCGATCGATACCGATTTTATCGATTTTTTGCAAAATTTGAGCTACGGGGCTGGGAGTTGGCACAGGGGGATAAGTGAGCATGGGGATTCCGAATACAATTTTAGTTTTTAAAATCGTGCATTACTTTTATCGATTTTATCGATTTTTCTGCAAAGTTTGAGTTACGGGGCTGGGATTCGGCACAGGGGGGTAATCGAGCATGCTGATCACCCCCGTGGGGGTGATCAGCATGCTCGATTACCCCCCTGTGCCAAATCCCAGCCCCTAGCTCAAATTTTGCAAAAAATCGATAAAATCGGCATCAATCGATAACGAAAAGTGGACTGTGACACCCGCCGGGGACCGAAGTGTATGTGTGCCAAGTTTGGTTCGGATCGGTTGAGAAATGGAATTTTCTATTCGGAACATACGGCGGAGCCGGTTTTGCCAGCTAGTTAATTCATAACGCAATTGGTGAGACTCTCCCACTGCCCCCAAAAGGTCATATTGAAAAAAACAAATTTTTATTCATATCGAGTGGAAATCACTTAGCTACAGGAATCCTCAAAAAGACGAGGGTTTGAAGACACTGCCAGAACCAAGGGCCATTCCTACAAAGTAGATGGCAACTTAGAATTTTATTAGGGCATAAAATAGCTCAACTCTTAGTTTGTAATCTTTGGTTTATGACTGCAGAGAGTTAGAAGGACGGCAGTACCTTCCTGTTCAAGGAACTCTTATATACTGGTTCTTTGCATGCATCACTTGTTAAATGAGTGCATAAGATCCCTTATGCCATGGAATTGATAAACATATGCTTGCCTGATCAACACAGCAAAGGACTTTTCAAGCGCGCAAAGAATAACTTTAACGCAATGGCAATATTGGAAACTAAGAAAAGTAAAGGATAAATCGTATGACAGCATATAGTACTTCATAACAATAATTATGACCGATGTATTACTTCTTAACTGTGAATCCTAAGACCTTAAAAGGGGCATGTCAGCATTCGGAAGGCCACGCGTGTAAGGTGAGAAATAAGGCACGAAGTGGGGCTCAATTAAATAATTCTCGCTCGTAGAAAGTCGTTCAGTTCACAGTTACACTTAATCCTAATACTTCGCAAATCTTCAAACTACCCGGAAAGACGCAAAAAGTAGTTAGAACAGTACATGCAACTCTATTTGCCGGTATAATAGTCGCTCAATTATATGACGACTAGCTTTTGACGTCAACTTCAGCTAGTTGCCAAGCGTACTTTACGTGGTTCTTCAATGCGTGCAGTCTCTTTACAACAACGGTATGGCTGATGTTTTTCATTCGAGGTCATTTTTCGCTTCTCTTCACACGATAGCTTCTGCTTGCTTCTATAGACTTCTTTCTTCGGCATTTTAAATGACTTCCGTACATTTCCTGGTCTTCCATTATTATTCTTAGCCTTCGAGTACTATGTCAATTATGATTATTAGTTCTTAGACCTTTCATACATGCTCTAGGAGCCTTAATTTTGATATTTACAATTCATCAAATGGCATTAATTCCAATCTCTGGCGATGGAGTGGATCCCTAGCTGTAGCGCTCACTCTTGATATCCGCTATTCGCTGTGCCACAGCTCTATGTCCACTCATTCTATTCGAAACTCTGTAAGCACTTTCACACATCGGACGGCAACATTGATGCATGTATGATGCATCTGTTCCATTCAATAAAATGTAATTTTGCCACTCGTAAAAGGAGTACCTTAAATCAAGTCATGGATGCATTTGAGAGTTTATTGGTTCGTGAATGCCCTAGAAAGGTTAGAATCTAGCCTTCGAACTTCCGTAAATGACGTCACAATGTCAATGGGTGTCATGGGCATGTCATGCCTTTCAAAAAATTTTGGTTCACAAAATTACTTAAAAAGCTAGACTCAAAGCCAGTAAGAGTTCAGCTGTTCAAGCGAAAGCTTGCACACTTACCCACGTCATAGGTGCATTTTAGACATTGTTGATTCCTGAAAGAGATGTCTGATTTTACTATTTTCCCATAAATGAGCAACAAAGCGTACAGTACCGTTACCTGGAATAAGTAGCAAACTATAAACTTCTTTGAGAGAACGTTAGTTAAGAACTCAGTGCTTGCAATTGAAGAATTTCCTTTCCGATAACTACATGAGGGTAGTTCAATGAAAAATCTAGTATTTAATCAAAGCTTCCAAATTTAGATTTCCTTGGCACTGTGGAATTCTGAGATATCAGTCAGGGACAGCAAACAATCACATAGTACCGAATTTTCAAAATGTGTCTAAAAAACCGACAAAATTTTTTGATAAAAGCAATGAAAGTCTTTCAATTATAACTAAAAATTAGATTTGTGATAGACTAGACATGCCTACAGTTGAGACCAGCAATATATACTACAGTTCGCTTTGAACTGCTTCAGTACTTAACGCTGGAAAATGCTATGTTTCTTGCTTGGTCGAGTCAATTATAACTCAATGCGTGGGCTCGCACACAACGCGCGCCAAATGACAGTACTCTTGTTAGTGATATTTCACCCAGGAGAGAGGTCAAAAATCAAAGTGGCCAATCCAAACATGCTGCATACCTTAAATGCAGCACAAAACGCTGACCACGAAACTGTACAAGCTGGATATCGTTTTTGGGACAAGAAGCAAAGGGGATATCGTTTTTGTCGACAAATTGCGACGTTCTTTTCTTTTTTTTTAGTCGACGCTTCATTTTTTGAAATTCCCTGGTGCCACCTCGTGCCGAGCCCTGTTATCTGCTTAGCGCCTATGTGGGCGAAGTTATGACCGTTAGAGGCCGTTATTTTGCTAAGAAATATTGCATGCAAAGCGCAAATTTGGCAGTACAGGTTCATGCTCGGCTTGATGCCGGGCCAAAACATGCAGCTAAGTTACTTCATATTCTTAAAACTTAAGGGGGGGGGGGTTGAAAGCGCAACAATGGGCCAATTTTGAGATTTTTATGTACGACTTTTTCACAATAAAACTGCTCATAACTTTGTCCACAGGCGCTAAGCAGATATGGAATAAAGATTTGAATTCAGCGTTGAATGCTGCGTCGGAACTCAACTTGCTTGGATTGGCCAATTCGACTTCTGATCTTTCCCTTGTCAGTAGATTATTTTTTGAGTTACAAAGAAAGTATCACTGATTAATACGCATCCAGAAAGCAAGGACATTGAAATTAAGCAGGCGCTGGCTTACAAGGCGTCAATTAGCGTGCATGGTTTGCGCTACGCATATTAATTTACAAACTCGAGGATATGTTGCTTACACGCATCATTATCCTCAATATTCAATCCGGCAATAAGCCAATATTCCCACCGTGAAAACAGAATGAACCTACCGCTTTTGTTTACGCGAAATCACATGGCTTGTTAATAGATGTCAAAAATTCATTTTTACGCCAAAAATCAATAAATCAATAGTGGTCTAGCAAATCGCCGCAAAAAGTAGCCCTAAGCAACCGACGAAGTCAAAAAACACATGCATGTCAAGTTTCAATTAAATCGGTTCAGCCTGCAAGCGTTTCTGTAGCATACGAACACCCAAACGAACACCGTCAATAATAAGAATTGTCCTAAAGGTACAAAAATCTGATTCCCTGCCCAACCAAAATGCCCTACGTTTCGCATACAGACCGGTATCTACTTGAAAGAAAGGTGCTAGCAGGATTCAGCTACAAAAGAAGCAAGGCTGTTCCAAGTTGTTCCGCTTATAAGAATACCAACGAGATACAGTTACTTGCGCGCATTTCTGTCACGTGAGAAGCAAGATTATCCCACTGAATATTTTTAAAATTTTTCCAAGAGTTTTACAGGGAACGTACACGAATTTGGCTGAAATCATGCTTACGCAATTTGGCATCATTTCAAAAGCAAGGAGTAGGATATAACAGGTGGGTAGTGCAGATAATTAATAGTGCCTGGGTGATTCCATGGCTGCCAAAATGAGTAAGACACAGATAATTTGTATTTTCTAGGGACCTACAGGCCGCTAAAGGCAAATAATTTGCAGTGTTTAGGTGACCTTAGGGGCCGCTACCAAGTGGGTAGAGCAGATAATTAGTATTGCCCTTGGTGACCGTACAAGTCGCTAAAATGACAGATGATTTGTAGTGCCTAGGTGCTACGGATCTCTAAAATGGTTAGGGCAGAGAAGCATTCTATTCTGTACATTAGGAGGTCACCATTTTTCAAATACCTGGGCTCCCGAGTAATGTCGGATTGCGACACGATCACTGATGCTCGTGCTAGGACGAACGCGGCGTGGCTAAAGTGGCGACAAGTTACAGGAGTACTCTGCGACCGCCGAATTCCAATATACCTCAAGTAGAAAGTGTACCGGACTGTGGTAGGCCAGTCGCCATGTACGGAGCCGAATGTTGGCCAGCAACAAGGAAACACGAGCAGATCCTGAGTACGATGGAGACGAGAATGATAAGATGGATATTCGGCCTAAGGAGAAGAAACTGCGTCACGAACGTTGATGTGCGACACATTCTCGAAGTAGCACCTATCGCGGATAAGGTGCGAGGTGCCAGATTACGATGGTATGGTCACGTTTTATGAAATGAAGATAATACAGTAGCAAAAACAGCACTTTGCCTAGATCCGCAGGGGAAAAGACCACGTGGCCGACCAAAGCAACGCTGGTCGGACAGCATTCGAAACGACTACATTACGAAGCTCAAACCACAAGAAGCAGCTGATCGAGTCAAATTGAAGCAAAAATACACCACAGCCGATCCTGCCCCGCGGGACAATGGCGAGGATAAAGAAGAAGAAGAAGATTTCACGATTTCGAGAAACATCCAGCCAGTATAATACGTCTGGTAATGCGCCTCTTGGAATTTTTATTTTCAAAGTCAAAATGCACATCAAAGCCAGTCTGCTTTCGATGCATTTCTCAAATCTTTACCCACCTCCTGCACTTCCGGTCTTCAATGACGTTTTCTGCGTTAATCTGCTCATCAGTTCGAGTCAGAACATTTAAGCGTGAGAAAAATGATCGCCTACTTACTTCAAAAAAACTGCGAAGAAAAACTCACTTTTTGCAGCTTTTAGATGATTCGTCAGGTGAAAATTTTACTGGCGAAAAAACTGCGTGAAAAGAGTTATCAAAGAAAGAATAAGAGGGTGTCGGAAAACAGCGTTTTGCTAAATTTTTTTTCAATCCAAAAAAATGAAGCTCAGCAACGCTGTCAGCGCATAAGCAGACATCAAGGGCTACAAGAAAATGTAAGATCTGCCAGAAATTGATTCGAAACAACATAGAAAAGGGTGCCGGCCAAATGCTCCGTGGATAGCTTGAGGGGTGCGAGATACCGCGCAATAAGTGGACGCGCAGACGAGCAAAGAAGAAACAACAGAGCCGAGGGGGCATGTGGCTCTGGTCGTAAACATCCGTTTTAACGGAAGCAAAATTACATATCTTTTTAACCCCCTGAGACAACTGAATGCCCCTGACAACGCTGCCGATGTTGAAGACCATTCTATAACGAGATAAAGTCGCATATTAATGTGCAGATCTTGCTTGTTTGGGAGCCTTCAGACCGCGTCTGCCTGTTACCCTTTCATAACTACTAGTATCGGGCCCGGCACCGATGGTTTGGGGTCAAACTGGACTTCGTTTTTGGAGTTAGAAGCAACGGGGACATCGTTTTTATGAGATCCTGGAGGAAGCGTCAAAAAAACACGACGAACATGTCAGGTTTCACGAGTTGAACGTGTTCTTTCGCAAGCGCGCGAATTTTAAATGCAAGACTCGAACAAACAAATGGCTTGTTTACAGCGCACAAACAATCACATGGCTCCGAATTTGGGCTATGTGTATACAATATTACTCCAAACTATGTTATGTAAAAAGTTCCCAAAACTTATGCGTCCTAATATCCGTTCTCGGATTTGTTGGTTTCTAGACCAACTACCAAACCAACTGATTTGGTTTGGAGCATAAATATCGGAGAGTTCACATAAGTTTTGAACCTTTTTGATTTGGACGATTAGAACGGTCAAAAATCTATCATATAGTGAAGAGAGCGGATCAAACCGTTGCCTCTCCCCTTTTTTGAGTCAAAAGTAGTATAATTTTACGCGTTGATATCGCGCTCCAATCACTTGCGGTGTCCTGTGAAATATGTGGCGAAAAATGCATCGCAGGATTGTTGAGGCTACAGATTTGGTTGGCCTAGTAGATTTTCGACATTCCCAGCATCAAAATGGTACTATACCCAATGGCAGAGCCTTTAAAGGCAGTGTCTCACCATAGTTGAGGTCGTTCGGATCTTCACATATTGTATTATAGGGACGTCTAAACAGGCCATTGCAACAAGTCCCACTCAATTTGACCCCCTCCACGCTGAAAAAAATTCGCTCAA